GCGAATCAAACAAAAAAACTGACAATCTAATGAAAAGCTAGAACGTGAAAATGAGTGTTTAACAAGGGAATCACCCTCACTAACAGTCGATTAATCCTTAAAGTAACTGAATGCTCTGATTAGATAATCAAGAAGCTTAAAATGCTTCATTTCCCTATGAAGTAATTCCATATGGAGTCACATAACCTGGTGATAAAAAGTTTGAGATTAAATTTTAAAGTTAGAAGAACAGTAACCTAATCCTCATACTTTGATGAGACCAGTTTTGAAAGAGGAGGAATTTTGGCGACCTGCTTAAACTTTGGCCTACTGAAAATATTCCACTTAATATATTTTATTGAATTTTTCCCTTTTAATTTGCTTTTATCTTTCAAATGTCTTTTAAACGCGTCTCGTACTCTCACAGACTTCTAAAATGGTTTCAAATCGTTTTTCGAGCTAGCAACAAAACAAAGAAAAAACTATACCCGGTGGGCTTATAACTACACAGAAATGCAGTACCTTACTTTTCCTTGGATAAGTATGTCGCATCGCAGATTTTGGTACTGGCTGAATTAACTGCCGCCACCAAAATTATGCTGGATTTTCCATTCATTCACCAGTCCAAACTAGACGCTAATGTAATACCAGTTGCTTGCTTAACATTATGGCTTTATTACTGTTATTAACATTATTCTAATACAATGATTATTCCGCTTTAAGATAATATACAGGGAATGAATTTGTTGAACTATTACATGCTGAAGATTCCTTACTGCATCACAAGTGTTGTTTAGAACAAAGCAGTTATTATTATCACTATTATTGTTATTTAATGTGGTTTTGAAAGTCGTAACTCTCGAAGACTACTGGTTTGAATCGCAGGTTTTCACTCAGCTTCTGTTGTCACCCCCTTAAATAACTGCGAGTTACTTTTAGTTGTGCAAAAAGATAAATTATCGTGTTGATGAAAATGCAAAGCAATAAATCAGGAGCTAAGCTACGGTAGGAATCAGTTTCTCCTAGGGGATAAGTAACTGGAGTTAGGAAAATTTGATGACAGTTATGTCAAAAACAAAAAAAATGCAAACCAAGTTATCAACCAGTGGTTTTGTGAGTTTGATTAGTTTGATAGCAGTTTCTTATGTGTAGTGAGTCAGAGTCGAACCCGTTCCCGACGTAAAACTAAGCGACACTTCAGTCGTATTTCAGGTTTAAATATTCTCATATAATGGATTCTTTTCATAGAAAAAGATTTAAATACTGGTGCTATTTTAAAGGATCCTACGAACTCATTTAAGATTTCTGGTTCACTGTATCTATGAGGAAACTGTAACTACCTTTTTAAGTTAGAGACTGTCAGCTTCTCAGGAATATGCTACAGCTTTTAAACAGCATTTTTATCTACACAATTCAAAGAAGAAATTTCGTTGTGGTTAATTTAGTTAAATTGTTCGGTTATACAACTAGCTTGTTGACTGGCGTTTTCATAGTTTTACCACGTTTTTTTTAGCACCCGGTTTTTTGTCATCTAGTTAATTACTTGCCAGTTAGTAGAAGACATATTCTTCATGCATGGGAGAAAATCAACTTCTCATTCAAATACTGGTGGAAAACCATTTATAGTGATATTAAGTTACGCCATATTTATTGTTAGGACTAAATGATCTTCTGATAGAATGCTAATCCTTTTTTATCTAGAGCTAGACAATAATTGCTGAAATAGGTTGGGGTATTGATAATAGTAATCACTACAATCACATAACTTATGGGTATGTCAATTCATTTGGAGGTTTGGGAGGATTTATTCATTTCAAGGTGACATTCAACACGGATTGACATCAGTTAGAGAACCGTTGAAAATCTGGGAGCACTGGATAACTGGTTCGTTTTAGTATGAGACTCAGTGTTGCGCACTCTTGGCCCTATCAGGGATCGAACTGGGGATTCCGATCCAGTGGCTTAATGGTAACCTGCTTGCCAAGAGACCTGACCACTGGTGGAATCATAAGTCTTTACAGCTTAGGAGTCCCATACTAGGACGAAACAGCTGTCCACTGCTCTTTTAGTGGTTCTCCAACTGATCTCAGTCGAAACCGAAACCTAACTTATATGTATGTTAACCTTGATAGCTATTTCATGAACGAAAGCGAACTGCGACTTGTTTCTATAATTTTATCAAGACTTCTTTAAGGTTAAGTAAATTTCAGTAAT